AGAGCGGCGCGGGAACCGCCGTGGTCATCGTCATCGGCGGCGCGGCCGAGTCGCTCTCCTGCCAGCCGGGAGTCACCACCTTAATCCTGAAGAACCGCAAGGGCTTCGTGCGCATGGCCCTGCAGCACGGGTGAGCTGGGCCGGGCGGCAGCAGCGCTGCGGCGAGGGTCAGAGCAGGCGACGGGGCGCTTTGCAGACTGCGTGTCTGCGGGGGGCTGCGGGACGTCCGATCCCGTGGCAACGCCTCTCCCCCGCAGGGCGTACCTGGTCCCCTCCTTCTCCTTCGGCGAGAACGACCTCTTCCGGCAGGTGGTTTTCAAGGAGGGCAGCTGGATGAGGAGCATCCAGCAGCGCTTCCAGAAGATGATGGGCTTTGCCCCCTGCGTCTTCTACGGCCGGGGTCTCACATCTGTTCAGTCCCGGGGCTTTTTGCCCTATGCCAGGCCCATCACGACCATTGGTGAGCATCTCCGTGCCGGGAGGGCGGGATGGTGCATGGGGAGGGATCTCGGGCCACGGCGGGCAGCCCCTGGGTCTCACGGGCCTCACTTGCGCTGGCTCTGGCAGTGGGGGAGCCCATGACGGTGCCCAAGATCGAGGACCCAAGCTGCGAGACGGTGGACCTGTACCACGAGATGTACGTCCGCTCCCTGCTCAAGCTCTTCAACGAGAACAAGACCAAGTACGGGCTGTCAGAGACGGACGAGCTGCGGATCGTGTGAGCGAGGCCAGGCAGAAGCCACGGGCCGAGGCGGGCGGCCAAGTCCTGACTCGCAAGGGCAGCCGGCTCTTGAGGGTGGGGATTTCAGCCCGCCCGGTGGGTGGGCACGGAAGGACGGGCACTGCGCTTGTGGGGACCCCCTGGCCCCAGAGACCCTTCCCATGTGCCACATGCCGCCGCTGCCCCTGGCCTCCTCTCCTCGCCTATCACCACGTGGGCCTCCGCTCCGGCCCCCGCTCCTTGACGGTGGCTTGAAAAAGGAAGATGGAAAAAGCAGAGTGAGGCACAGGAGAAACCAAGGGGAGGGAGGGGAAGATTGGCAGAGGGCCCCTGGGGTATCGCTGGGGTGAGCAGCCGCTTCCCCGCTCCTTCGCAGCCTGGCCCAGCGGTCCTGCGGGACAGGGGCTCGTGGAGCCACGGCATGGGAGGCAGTGATGTCCCCACGGGCTGTGCCGGCGGGATGTCGGGCCACGGCAGGCGCTGTGGGGCAACGGGGAGGTGGTCCGTTCCAGGGAGTACTTTCATTCAAGGCTTTTGAACGTGACAGCTTGCACTGCAACGTTCAGCTTGGCAAACAGGTCTTATGCAGCCAGGTGTACTGGTGGCTTTTCCACAGTCTCATCCCCTCAATCTTCCCTAAGTGGCAGACAAAAGTGTTTTGGCAGCGGGGAGGAGGGAAGAGCCATCTTGGTGCTAGACCGGGCATGCTCCCTCCCAGGACAAGCAGGAGACCAGGTGTAGCAAGGAGGAGGAAGAAGGAAAATTGCTAACGAGAGCAGCTTTTAGGGGCAGCCCTCCATCAAGATGAGGTGCTGGGCTGGGGAGAGGTCTGCCACAGGGAAGGGGTGGGAGTCCCAGGCCTTGGGACTTAGTCAGCTGGACTCAACGAAACCTAAGATGGTGCTGCCCTACTGGAGGGATCAGTCCTGTTGTGGCCCCAGGTAACGAGCCTTTCCCACCACCACGACTGGTTCTGCACCAAATACAGACTTACAACCCCAGATTTGCCTGGTTGTGGTGGGGAGAGAGGGCCGGCTAGGCTGAGCCCTGTGGGCCAAATGCGCTGCTGTGGCCTGCAATCCCCGAGGCTTCGCTCCTGGCCCATTTGCAGGGCTTGAGGCTGCGCTGGGGCACAGGGTTTGGCCAGGGCACTTGCACCTTTAAGCAATCGAGTGGCTCTGGTCCCACCCGGGCCAGGCAGTGGGTAAGGGGAGGGGAGGGCAGCGAGCTGGCGGTGCTGCTGGGCTGTTTCTCATTTCTCTGCTCTGCACACTGAGCCGTGAGTGAGGGGCTTTCTGGGTCTGGCTGCTGCTGCCGTGATGGCCACAGGGAGGGACGGGGGATGCTACCTGCTCTCTCCGTGGCTGGGGCTGGCCGAGAGCCGCTCCTGTGAGTGTGGCTCAGCTGTGGGAGCACCTGGGGCTGAAAGATGCCTCCTTTTCTTTGCCTCGTGGGCAATTACCCAAAATGCATGCCCTAATCCAAAGCAGCAGGGCCTGGTGCAGCTGAAGCTTGTCCTTCGGGGGGGAGGGGCCGTGACCCCCCCGGTGCCTTTACAGGTGGCACTGGGGAGCAGCCTCTTCCTTGGCCTCGCTGGCAGGGACAGCGGCCAAGTCTTGCCCTATTCCTGCCCCCAGCGGGTGGTAGGAAGTGGGACATGACATCCTTAATGGGCTAGTGTGGGAAAGTCAATAATGGTGATAATCATCTCTGGCCTGCTCTTCTTTACGCAGCACTCAGTTAAACAGGAGATCTGGGTAAACATTTAGAAAGCAAACACCCATAAAGAACAGATTCCTGAGGACTTATTAACCTCCCATCGCTAGTCACCTCGGTATTTCACCGCTCCAGCCGCCTTGCTCCCGAAATTCGTAGAAACACTAATGTTAACGTGCCACACGAGCCCCTGTCAGTGTTGGTGTCAGATGAGGCCATGCTACAAGCAGGAAGAAAGCTGAAGAAAGCTTTCCTCTGTGCTCAGAAACACCTTCTGAGGCCTGACCCGTTCCCAGCAAGACATGTGCAATCTGAAAGATGGATCTCTGCTGGCCCAGGCTGTGAGCGAGTGAGGGGAGCCTGTACCAGGGGCTCTTTGAGGATCAAAGAGATTTTTAATATCATTTAAAGATCACTTAAATAATGGGGCGTACTACATGGGAGAGGGAGGAGAAGGAGTGAATGCTCTCTGTGTTGGGCTCCCCCTTTCCTGTGATATCCCCTCGTAAGTGGTCAGATATGACCACCTGATATCTCTTTCTTCTGATATTGGGAGAAATAGGCCTGGACTTAGAGAAAGAAAATACACTTTATTTGTGGGCTGGTTAGCAATGAGCCCTTCCCCACCGTTGCCCGAGCCGGGCCCGGGGACGGTGGTTCTGGAGGGATCACAAGCCCCGCGGTGGGTCACTCCCTTGCCTCACTCAAGGACAATATTGTGACAGGAACATCTCTAACAGACTAACGCATGCAGGATGCTGCAGCTGTCAGCTGGGCATCCTCTCCTTAAGCATCCCTGTCCCATGCCCTTCCTGCCTGCTATGGTGGCAGGGCCCCGCTCGCATGGCTGGCCTTGGTGGGCCAGCTCCCACATGCTGCTCCTGGGGCACTGAGGGAAGCAAGGCAAGTGGTTCATCTACAGAAAGATTTGTCCTGCAAAAGGAGCATGGACAGATGGACGGTTCAGCCTGTGCTTCCCTTTCCTCTGTGCACGTAGCATTCAGGTGACGCTCAGGCAAGATCCTGGGCGCGGGGCATCAGCCAGGTCTGCAGGCCCTGGGACCTGGTGGGAAGGGGGATCTCAGCATCGCCTAGCTTTAGAGCCCACTCGTCCACTGCGCTCAAAATGCTATGAGAGCGCCTCATCTAGTCCAGTTCTGTCTTCTGCACATCACTGCAGTCATCTCCTCCCTCTCCCAGACCTGTAGCGTGTAGGTCTCTGCTCTGGTCCCGGCTCTAAGGTGGAGCCTGAGCCTGAGCCTGAGCCTGAGCCTGAGCCTGGGCAGGGACAGGGACAGGGGCAGGGCCAGGAGAAATGGTTCAGGCTTGTAGATGATGCCAGAGCATCAGGAGGGTGTAACTCGCAGAGACTAGGGATAACACCAACACCACATTGCCACCAGCTCCCCCTTGGCAAGCTCTCAACGCCCTCCTCCTGCCTCCATGTTGCCCCCATCCCTCAGGTGTCACTGATGCGGTAACCGGTGGCATGGCTGCTGCCCACGGCCTCATCCCTGGAGGGGGACACCAGGGCCAAAGCAGACTGGGGCCCAGGCCGGGGCCGCTGGGCTGCCCCCCGGCGCAGCCTGCCCCGGTACTTGTCCCCAGCCATGAAGTACAAGATGGGGTCGAGGCAGCTGTTGATGCTGGCCAGGGGACGTGTGATCTTGTAGGTGAAGTTGATGATGTTGAGGGTCTGGCAGTCCGCCTGGAAGTAGCGGGAGGTGTAGTAGAGGGTCCGGGTGATGTGGAAAGGCACAAAGCAGACTGCAAAGACAGTGAGCACAATGATAATCATCTTGATGGAGCGCTTCTTGTAGGAAGGCATTCGGATGCCAGGGCTAGAGAAGCTGGATTTGCAAAGCTTCTTGGCCATCAGGCAGTAGCACAGGACAATCACCAGGAAGGGCACCCCGAAGAGGAGGGCCATGACAGAGGAGCTGTAGTGCACATAATGATCGAATTCCTCGGGCTTGGTGGTGTCATGGCAAAGGGTGCTGTTGTACCTGGAGCTGATGGTGACAAACACGAGGTTGGGGATGAGGCAGATAGTGACGACGAACCACACACCCACACAAATGAGGCGCGCATGCTTGGTTTTCACCCACTTCAGGGAGCGGATAGGGTGACAGATGCCCACGTAGCGGTGGACACTGATACACGTGAGGAAAAGGATGCTGCTGTAGAGATTCGCATAGAAAAGGAAGCGCACTATCTTGCAGAGCCATTCCCCAAAGGGCCAGTTGTTGCGATCAGCATAGTAATAGACCAAGGTGGGGAGAGAGAGCACGTAGAGCGTGTCGGAGATGGCCAGGTTAAACATGTAGGTCATGGTGGCGTTCCATGGCCTCATCCTGGAGACAAATATCCACAAGGCCCAAGAATTGAGCGGCAGCCCCACCACAAACACGAATGCGTAGGAGATAGGCAGCAGGATGAACTTGAACTCCTCATTGAACACGCACTTTGCTTCTGCCACAGTGGTGGTGTTCCCCACCAGCCAGGAAGCAGGCGTTCGTGTCCACAGGGCAACTGGGAATGTCCTCACTGACGTGGCCATGTTCTCAAAGCCAGATCTAGAAGAGCAGTTAATAAAAACACATTAGCTGTTGAACTCAACCACTGTGAGGCACAAAGCGTGGAAGGGAGCCAAAGATGCCAGATTTTCCCCCCCCCTCCAAGAGCTCCGGCCACTTTGATGATTCTTTGGTTTTTCTCAGCTCTCACATTTGGGCCTTACAGTCAGCCAAGAAAGGCTTGACAAATCCTTCCCTTTGGAGCCCCCACAATGACACCCATTAATCATCCCTTTGAGCACTGTGCAGTGACACCAGCGCTGTATGAGAGCCCGGGAAGCATGCCTTAGACAGAAAGGCCTGCGTCCCCCCTGCCACGCTGTGCCCCAGCCGCCGGGCCAGCAAACCCACTGCGCCACTGACAAAGAAACCTTTATGAGCAATAGCAAACCCCTGCTCAGTGCCAGCGCAGACTGTTGGAAACCAGCTCAGTCTAATTGGCACCATCCTGACAATGCTGCTCATCCCAGAGGGGTCCTCAACAGAAGAAAGGCTAGAGGAGAAGAAAGGCTTGTCTGGGGGAATATTATGGCCTGCAGAAATCCTTGGGGAGCTGTTAAATGAGCCTTTGGGAGAGAGCGTCCCTGGACAGTGAGGGGCCTCCAGCTGCCGGGTATTCTCAATAGGAGAGCGACGATCTAAGCGGTGCAGAGAGGAGCTATGACAGAGCCAAGTCCCAGCCCAAGAGAGTGCAAGTTCACAAGCCAGGCAGGACTTTTCCCTCTTGCACATTGTTAGGATCAAAGACTGGGATTCTCATCATCCTGGCAAATTTATCCCCAGGGTAAAATGCGAGGGCAAACTATAAAATGATTGCATCTGCATTTCAAGATGTCTAAAGTTCAGAGTCCACTTCTCCAGAAGAAAGAGGGAGCTTCTACTGCAGTTGTCACATCCAACCAAGGGCTAAGTCTGAGAAGAGTTTCAGCATCTCAGGTCTTCTGAGATTGCCTTGCTTCCTTGCAAAGCACTTCTGGAGCAGCTGCTTCCATCAGCCAAGGCAGCAGACTGAGAAGCTACAGGCAGGGCGGACAGAGGCAACTCAACAGTTGGCCCCACAATGATGGAGGGCAAAAGAGCAGCTGACTGAAGTAAAAAAAAAAAACAAAAAACCTCTTTTAGCTGTCAGCTGCTGCAAGGCCAATTGGGCAATCTGTGTATTCTGGTTTTGGCCCAGTGCACAAGCCTGGTGCCAGCCAGTGCTTCTGCAGCTTTGCTAACAGCAGGCCAAAGTCACACCTTAAGCAAGAACAAAAAACCAGACCACTTAACTGCATTTTATGCTCTTTTAGCTCTATTGAATGCACTAGTTCGACCTGGTGCATTAAATAGGTTTAAAACCATAATCAGAGACGCTCAAAAGAAGTAATTGTAAAGCCATATATTCTTATCCCATGGACGTGTATCTATTGGGGTCCAGTAAAGGTTTGCTCCTGGGCCAGCGGCATCTGCCAAAGGTCAAGAGGAAAATATAGAGCTATTGCTGGTAATATTTCAGAGGATTCAAAAGTAATAGGGCCTGGCCGGTTACACACGCTAAGATGCCTTTGTCCAGTGGGCTCCACTGAATCCTGGAGGTTTAAATACAGCCAAAAGCAAGGGCTTATTTGGAGAGTCAGGAAAGGCAGGCTGCACTTGTAACCTGAGGTTGGTGCTTTTGCACACAGCGGTGCTGGAAACGACTTGCAGACCGAGTCTGGGCAGGCTGAGCACCATCTTCCCCTTCTGTGGGCAAGTGGCTAGGGTCCGTGGTGTTCTCCGATGAGTAACCAGGGAAATCTGAAATGGGAGCAGGAGTTGGCTTCTGCCATGCTATAGAGAGAGCTGAGGGTGCATCTGAACGCTGTATCTCACAGCAGGGGTTGCACGGTGTGCATTTGGTTTATGTTGGTTCAGAGCTCACCCATGAAATGACATTAGGAGGACATAGAGGAGGACTCTGGGTCCAGGGAGATGACACACATCGATGGGATGCTAGTTTCGGTGATACAAGGTAGAAGGCTGCGTTGTCTCCTGCTCTCTTCCTTTGGTTACCTCTTCCTCCAGTCCCCTTTATCTCTTTCATTCATGGCTCTGGGGTCAGGTGATATTTGATCCGTTTTGTCACTTTGCTCTGCAGAGCCTTGCCTGGATAGACTGGCATTCCTAGATTTACAGTCATGATCATAAACTAATCACCCGGCAGATGGGCTGAGAGACAGGAGGGTGTCTGTGCCGAGCTAGCCCCTGTGGCTACACGCGCTCTGTGCCATTTGTTTGAGTTTTGGGCTGAACTGGAGCCTCGGGCCCAAATCAAACACTCTGCAATTGCTTTCCAGCTACAGAAAGTGCAGATTGCTTCACAGCTTTATTACAGGGATGAGTTCAGAGAGCAACAGGCAGGTCCTGATCAAACATTAACAAAGGAAATTCAGTCAATTCCCCTGTAAACAGGACTGAAGACCAGCTCGTGTGAAACCCTAGCTGCCTCCAGGCTCTGGTACCAGCTGTATCTCGCAGCCTTGGCTTGGACAACCTTGCGGGAACACCTCCGCGGAAATCCCGGGTGCTGGGAGAGCAGCAGCAGGGATCTGGGAAGTGGCCCATCTCCACTGCCAGCACAGATTGTAGCACTGGGAGTTGCTGGGCAATGCCAGCATCCGGCTGAAGGGGTGCAGGGCACACTGCAAGGAGGGTGCACCCAGGTCACCCTCATGTATGTAGTTTAAACACCCAACTGAGAGGTCCCAGAGCATCAGAGCTATCAAGAATCAAGCGTGCTCTGCCACTTAATTTAGCCAGCTTCACTGGGTCTCATCCCTGGGCTGTGTCCATCAGCCACATTCCAGCTATATGCAAGGCAGGTTTCTCATGCGTCTGGGAGCCGAGAAGATCCCCCGGGGCCCAGCCTATTTTGGGGTGGTGTGCACAGTTCCCTTGGCATTCTTGGGTGTGTTCCATGGTGTTATCCTGACTTGAGCCTGGACAGCTGCTCTGCTGCCCAGACACATCTATAGGGAAGTGGAGGAAGACTGAAATGGAGCCATCGACGCAGTGAGGACCGAAGAGCTTGCTCAGCTGCAAAAAGCTGCTGGCAGAGCTTCCTTCCTAATAAGCTTGCTTCAGGCAATCTCTGGCCAGATCTAGCCTGGATTTTTTTTTTTCCAACTTTAACTATATAATTATTCATTGTCCTGGAGAAATGAGCAAATAATGACGCTTTACCCCTGCAGACTATGGAACATCTTATGTTCTCAGTGTGGGTAGGAAGAACAAGCCTCAGACAGAAAGCTGGAATACCAGGGAGTTAATAAAGTAATGCAGTTGTCTCTTCTTCTCCACCACTAACATCCAGTGTGCCAGACTGTCTCAGACGGTTACCACAATTCACAGATAAACGCTAGCTGATAAGCACATACCCACCAAGATGCAAGACCTGAGAAAGAAAAAAGATTCAGACTCTGCCAGTAAAGCAATCCATGCCAGAGCCCGCACAGCAAAGCCACACAGCAGCCACATGGCAGAGCAGCGAGTCCTCTCTGTAGAGAGACTAGAGAACACAGAAGGCCTCGAGGGGATCAAATGGGTGCCTGTACTACCCAGCCAGGGTTTGGACCGATTGTGCATGTATCACATCTGTGCTCAAGCCTGCCTCGCACCAGCATCTGCTCAGCTTCCCACTCCAGCTGCAGGCCTTTGTCCCAGTTCTCAAAGTAGTCATTACCAAACCCCAGCGACATTGAGTCTGAATTTGCATCTATGAATCATTTTGACAGCAGTGTCCTTAGAAAAAGGGCAGGGAGAAGCACAAAAGGGAAGGCCTCTGAAGGGTAGATCCATTACTGAGATACCTTCCAGAGAAGATGTCAGCCTACGAATTCACCTGCCTTTAAGGACCCTGTGATACCCTCCTCATGGGAAAACCCTACTGCTCCTGGTGTCTTTCACAATAGACACATACTCTTCTACTTGATAATTCAACAGAAGAGTGAGGCTCCTAATGCTAGCTCAACTTCTGACTGATGAGTGAAATCAGTGTAAGGTTAAAAGCCTGCATTAAGAGTCAGGGGCCTAAGTGCTGTGCTGGGTGCGGGACATTAGGACCACCCACTCTCCTCCAGTTGGTCCCCAGAGGGGAAGGCAGCCCAGACTGAGATGTCTTCCCACACTGCAGGGCCTTACCGGTGGCCAGTACCGTATGATGAACCAAGCCCTGGCCCTGGGGAGACCCGATCGGTGAGAGGGGACTTATCTTCAGCATTGAAATATTAACCCACGGTAACCCACTGGTTACCCACCGTCGGCACCAGCCTGTTCAAAGGCGATGAAAGGTGGCCCCACTCCCCCAGGTGGAGCAGTGGCATGAGGAAGTCGCTATTACATGTCCTTCAGCCGAGATTTTCCTAACGCTGCAGCAAAAGGCCACTTCAGAGCAAGTTTCAGAACAGAAATAAGAGGAGATGCCGGGAATCCCAGGCTCGAGATCACTGCGGGTGTGCATGGGAATTTCTTGACTCCATGAGAACAATACAGAGCTCTGCTGGGCTGCTCCACCCTTGCAAAGCCAGGAAAAGCAGGGATTGTGCTTGGAAGGCGAGCCTAGCTCTGGGTATAACACAGTGCCTTAGAAGGCTCACCTTCCAGCGTCCCATTAAACCAGTATAAATTTATTACACAATAAAATTTTCAGTACGTTTTTGCTGCCCCTGAGCTTGTGCCATGCCCTGGCTGAGCACCTGGAACCACCCCTCGTGACGAAGAAACCAGCAGCCACCTCTGCCTCAGGTGCAGCCAGACTCTCTTCGTCACTGGGGTTTACTGCACCGGTCTGGCCAGCAGCTGTTTCTCTCAAAGTTGACACACTGATGAGGATATGAAGAATTGGGAGATTTGTTTTCCTCTTCTAACCTCTGAATAAATGGAGCATGAAACAACACGATCTACCAGACCGGACATGCTGAAGGATTCAGCGACCAAAGCCAATTTCCACGAAACATAGGTCAACAATCACGAGGAACACATGAAAAATCCAGTAGATAAATATATATATATATCTCTCTCTCTAACAGAGAGAGAGAAAAGAAAAGGCAGAAAGTATCTGTGTAGCCGTCTGGTGGAGGGCTGCTCGGATGGGAGTGTAGGTTCACGGTGTCTGGCAAAAAATACAATGCCTGCAGTATTGTCAGTATTTAGCAACATCTTTTAACTGTTCCTAAGCAACTTTTCTTCAGGAAAACAACCGAAAAATAAAAATGTGAAAGACGACTACATTTAACACTCTTAATCTCAACAGCTGAAGTTTCCTGCTTCCTCATCTCAGTCATGATCAAAATCAGTGGTTTAAGTTGCTCTGATTTACATCAGTCCACCCAGAGGACACGTCATCGCCAGGCCTGTTCCCATTTCTAGGTAATTTCAGCGGGACCGTTTTCCCTGGCCACGGCCTCTCCAGCGTGGACTTTAGCGGGAGGGAGCGAGCGCAGCTGAGCCGTCTCCTGGCCGGGCGCAGCAGCCACGGGAGCTGGACAAGGAGATAAAGAGCCCTGGAGGAAAAGGACACGGCGCGGCTCGGCCCGACCCCCGCCCGCCGCAGCGGGGCC